AGCATATGAAAAAAGCTCAGCACCATGTCATTAGGGAATTGCAAACTGAAACAGTGAGTTACCACCACACACCTATGATCAAAATCCAAAACACTGAAAATACCAAATGCTGGAAAGAATGTGGAGCAATTGGAACTCTCATCCATTACTGGTGAGAATGGAAGCTTGGTAGTCTCTGAAAACTAAGCATACTATTACCATGAGAAATGGCAGTCATGATCCCTGTTTCTTATCCAAATACTATTGAAAACAAGTCCACACAAAAACTTGCAAAAGGATGACATAGCAGCTTTTCTCATAATTGCTAAAACTTGGAAGCAACCAAAATGTCTTTTTATAAGTGAATATATAAACTGGCATATCTTGACAATGGAATATTATTTTGCACTAGAAAGAAATGAGCCAATAAGCCATGAGAAGACATGGAGGGAACCTTATGTGTGTATTAAGTGAAAGACACTGAAAAGACTAGAAAAGAGCCTGATGAGGCTGCATACTGCATTATTTCAACAGTAGGAGGCCATGGAAAAGTCAGTCATTGAGACAGTAAAAAGCTCAGTGGTCACCAAGGGTTGAAGAGAGGGAGGGGTGAATAGGCAGTCCTAAGAAGACCTTTAGGACAGTGAGACAACTCTGTATGATGCTGCAGTGACGGACCCCTGTTATTATATGTTTGTACAACCCATAATATATATAGCACCAAGATTAATGTAAGCTATGGGCTTTGGGGTATAATTCTGTGTCAATGTTTATCCATCAGCTGTAACAAAGATACCACTCTGGTGGGGGTTGTTGATAGTTGGGTAAGGCTGCGGATGTTTCAGTTTTGCTGAGAACCTAAAACTTCTAAAAAGTGAAGTCTTAAATCATCTTTAAAAACATACATATACATATATAAAAACATGTAGAAAATGCAATAATTTTTAAATGTTTCAATTTTGATTTGAGAAATTAAAAAAACTTGCTATGTACTTGATTTTTTTTTTTTAGCAGTACTGGGGTTTGAACTTGAGGCTTTGTGCTTGCTAGGCAGGTGCTCTACCGCTTGAGGTGTGCCCCAAGCCCTTTTTTCTTTAGTTATTTTTGGAGTAGGCTCTTGCCTTTTTTTGCCTGGGCTAGCCTCAGATAAAGGGCATGTACCACCACACCCAACTTATTTGTTGAGATGGGGGTCTCACTAACTTTTTCCCTGGGCTGGCCTTGAACTGTGATCCTCCTAATCTTCTACCCAAGTAGCTAGGATTACAGGACCACCGCACTTGACTTGACTTTTTAAAAAATAAACTGTTGAAAGGGAAAGTTTGCCAAATGAAATTGCAGTTATGAGTCAGGTTTTATAATTTCTATTGTAGTGTTAACAACAACTCTTTCCTGAAGAAATACTTAGAGATTACTCATCTTCTCAACTGAAATTCTGAGACCTGGTTTCACATTCAGATCTCTACATAGTCCTGTCCCAGTGAATAGCCAATTCAGTAAACATTTTTGAATTCTTATTAGCTTGGTGTATTAGAGAAAGTTGTACTTGAGTTTAAATCTCAGTGTTGCCACTTGTTGACAGGATGACATTGTGTAAGTCATTTAACCTCAGAACCATAGTTCCCTCCACAAAATGTGACAGGAATACTGAAAATGAAAAAGTGGAATGCAGAATCTATAAGTTGTTACTGTCTTCCCTTTTACTCCCTTAGGATATCAGTCATATGTCACAGGAACGGACAGATGATCAAGGCTGATGACACGGGTTAAACAGAGTGCTTACGGGGTGATGAAAAAGTTTACAAGGAGATCTGGGATTGTAAGAAATGTTGAAACTAGAGCTATTTGTTGTCAGTTTACCTCCAAATGGAGAGAGCTTTCCTGAAAATAAGGCCTATGGGTCAAGTATTCTGTCAAGAAGAGGGTTGGCATGCTCATGGATTGGTAGAATCAACATAGTAAAAATGTCGATACTCCCAAAAGTAATCTACATGTTTAATGCAATTCCCATCAAAATTCCAATGACATTCATTAAAGAGATTGAAAAATCTACTTGTGAAATTTATATGGAAACACAAGAGGCCACGAATAGCCAAGGCAATACTCAGTCAAAAGAACAATGCAGGAGGTATCACAATACCTGACTTCAAACTAATTACACAGCAATAACAATAAAAACAGCATGGTACTGGCACAAAAAACAGACATGAAGACCAGTGGAACGAATAGAGACCCAGATATGAAGCCACAACTATAACCAACTTGTCTTTGACAAAGGAGCTAAAAATATACGATGGAGAAATAGCAGCCTCTTCAACAAAAACTGCTGGGAAAACTGGTTAGCAGTCTGCAAAAAACTGAAACTAGATCCATGTATATCACCCTATACCAAGATTAACTCAAAATGGATCAAGGATCTTAATATCAGACCCCAAACTCTTAAGTTGATACAGGAAAGAGTAGGAAATACTCTGGAGTTAGTAGGTATAGGTAAGAACTTTCTCAATGAAACCCCAGCAGCACGGCAACTAAGAGATAGAATAGATAAATGGGACCTCATAAAGCTAAAAAGCTTCTGTTCATCAAAAGAAATGGTCTCTAAACTGAAGAGAACACCCACAGAGTGGGAGAAAATATTTGCCAACTATACATCAGACAAAGGACTGATAACCAGAATATATAGGGAACTTAAAAAAACTAAATTCTCCCAAAACTAATGAACCAATAAAGAAATGGGCAAGTGAACTAAACAGAACTTTCTCAAAAGAAGAAATTCAAATGGCCAAAAACACATGAAAAAATGCTCACCATCTCTAGCAATAAAGGAAATGCAAATTAAAACCACGCTAAGATTCCACGTCACCCCTGTTAGAATAGCCATCATCAGCAACACCACCAACAACAGGTGTTGGTGAGGATGTGGGGGAAAAAGGAACCCTCTTACACTGTTGGTGGGAATGTAAACTAGTACAACCACTCTGGAAAAAAATTTGGAGGCTACTTAAAAAGCTAGACATCGATCTACCATTTGATCTAGCAATACCACTCTTGGGGATATACCCAAAAGACTGTGACACAGGTTACTCCAGAGGCACCTGCACACCCATGTTTATTGCGGCACTATTCACAATAACCAAGTTATGGAAACAGCCAAGATGTCCCACCACTGACAAATGGATCAAGAAAATGTGGTATCTATACACAATGGAATTTTATGCAGCCATGAAGAAGAACGAAATGTTATCATTCGCTGGTAAATGGAATTGGAGAACATCATTCTGAGTGAGGTTAGCCTGGCCCAAAAGACCAAAAATCGTATGTTCTCCCTCATATGTGGACATTAGATCAAGGGCAAACACAACAAGGGAATTGGACTTTGATCACATGATAAAAGCGAGAGCACACAAGGGAGGGTGAGGATAGGTAAGACACCTAAAAATAGCTATTTGTTGCCCTTAACACAGAGAAACTAAAGCAGATACCTTAAAAGCAACTGAGGCCAATAGGAAAAGGGGACCAGGAACTAGAGAAAAGGTGAGATCAAAAAGAATTAACCTAGAAGGTAACACCCACGCACAGGAAATCAATGTGAGTCAATGCCCTGTATAGCTATCCTTATCTCAACCAGCAAAAACCCTTGTTCCTTCCTATTATTGCTTATACTCTCTCTACAACAAAATTAGAGATAAGGGCAAAATAGTTTCTGCTGGGTATTGAGGGGGGGAGCGGGAGGGGGTGGAGTGGGTGGTAAGGGAGGGGGTGGGGGCAGGGGGGAGAAATAAACCAAGCCTTGTATGCACATATGAATAATAAAAGAAAAAGGAAAAAAAAGGGGAGGGGGAAGAAGAGGGTTGGACATATATCAGGCCTATAATATAAATTTATTGAATATTTATAGAATGAGGGAAAATATTTCTCCTCTCTTCTAGAAGGAGATTTTGTTTTAGGCAGTTGTCTATTTTTCAAACAGATGGGGTCTTGCTCATTTTCTCAGGCTGGCCTTGAGCTCATGGGCTCAAGCAGTCCTCCTGCCTCAACCTCCCAAGTAACTGGGACTACAGGTGTGTTCCATTGTGCCTGGCTCTGCAATTATGTATTTTAACGAATGATTGTTCTCTGTCATTGTAAAAACAATGAACACATTTTAATTTGACAGTTTTTAACCCAACCCAAATTTTAACTGAGTTTCATAAGCTTTGGAGACATTTTCAGACAAATCGTCAGAGATTACTGGGAAAGAACAAGGGAGAATTGGATTCTGGTATAGCAAGAAGCTGAGTAAAGGTGTCAAGATGTCTAGTATGAGCTCGAACCAATCAGTCATCCATGGAATGGGACTTGTCTACATTCAGTACCCTGTCCTTGCCAGTGTTCTCTAAGGCTTTGGTTCACCACCATCCTGCTACCCTTAAGCACAGCTCCAGGATACCTGTGTTTAAATCAGTGATCTGATAAAGCCACAGAACTTTGAGCTGACACAGTTGGGAAATAGATGTCTTGGTTACCTCCATTGTAAAGATAAGAAGACTGAGGGTAAAGGAGCCAAGGTTGTAACTTATAGGTGACATTCTGTATGTGATCCACATTCTGTCCACTTGACTGTGGTAGCTTCTGCTTTGCTAACGCCCCCATGAGGAAGAGGTCTGTATGTCCAGACAGATCCATAGGCCTCTTCTTCCTTGACAAAGCCTCTGCCAGAATGGGAGGCAGGAGAGGAAGTGGCTTATCTGACCCTTGTGCTTTAGCACATCTGCAGCCCATGCCAAACCAGAAAGCCCCCAGATAACCAGTATGGGGCCTACCATTTGATTGCTTTTAAAATTTTCTACGTAGAGAAGTCTCTCTTCATAGAGGATAGGCCCTTCCTGCATTTTTGTGTCATGCCTTTATTCAGTTCTATATAAAAGATTATAAGTGTTAATCAGTTATTGTTTATGTAGAACTTTCAAAACTGGGGGCTACAGCATGTGAATTTTTAGCAATGAAAATTTTTAGTAACAAAACATAAAATAATATTTTACCTCATCATTGTAGCTTGTAACAGTCACAAACATTCCCAAACCAGGAGCAGATTCAAGGAAATCCTGTCTGCCTATGTCCCATTGCTGTACCTTAAAAGTCCCTATTTCAAAAACATAAGACATTTATTATAAGACATAGGAAACAGTAATAGGCTATTACTGCTAAATTAAATGAATTTATATTTCTCAATTTGTCTGTGTCACCAAATACTGCTAGTTTGGATGGCTTTTGGTGACTGGGTCATCTGGCAGAGAGTTGAGGTCTGATTCCAACTGTCACTATGTTGACTGGTTGACTTGACAAGCTACTTCACCATTCAGCCTGAGTTTCTTATTCAGAAAAACTGGAATAATACATATCCCCTTTAAATCTTAGTTAGAATTGTGAGGACTTGAAAATAAGCTTATGAAAGGGTTCCACCTAGAATGTAAATGCAGGGCAGCACTCAGAAGACTCCTAGACCTGTTCCGACATCCCCCAGTGGTTCTAACTTTTATGTCCTCCATTACTGAACCCCACGCACCTCCAGCAGGATTCCTTCTTGAGACATGAGTGTAGCCATGTTGAATCCTTTGTTTCATTGTCTTTAGGGGCTTCCACTAAAGCTTGAACCATGACAGAGTCTCTAACTCCCTGCAGTATGGGGAGAGTAGCTGTGTGTGACTTAACTTTCAAGAATACTTTCTGAGGAAAGTATTTTTATTCATTCACTCATCCAGTGATTTGATAACCACCTTCCCCATAGCACTGTTTGGGAGCTGGGGACATTTGTGAAAACAGTAGACAATACTCCCTGTTATGACGGCGCTTTCCCACAGCCAGAAACTGAAGACAAGCAAGGCTGTGATAGGGTTGGCAAGAATGCTGTAAGGAAAGGCAAGTAACAGGGATGGTCATGCTAAGGAAGTTGGGGAAGGCTTCTCTGACATTGCAGCGTAGATGTGAAGGAACAGAGGAGTGAAATACACTTATATGTGTTTATAATATTAAAGTGTAAATATTAGACAATTTCAGAATGCTAAGGAAGAAGGCACTGCACTGTCTGGGCTTGAATCCTGACTCTACTACTTGGTCACAATGTGACCAAGGCAGATTCTGTGCTTTGGTTTCATCATATGTGAAGTCATCATAAAAATGCTACCTACATACCCTGGGTCGATGTCACAAAGACTCATATACATGTCAATCACTCAGAATCATTTGATACATACCTAGCACTGAATGTGATATCTATAAAACTTTTAATCTGTTTATTATTCATAACTTAAAAGTGTAAACATTATAAATATTTCTACATAATATTTTTTTGGTAAGAGTAGTGCCTTCTGCCTCAACAGCACATTGTGCTGTCTCCATCTGGAGAAACATCAAGAGCAGACACAAAGGTCCTGATGCTAGGGGATACTTGGAGTATTCAGAAGCAGCAGGTGGCTGAGTGAGGTCAGTATGGAGAGTGGCAGGAGAGGAGGATGAAGGACAGTAGGGACCAGGCCTACTGGTAGAGGGACTGCACATCCACTGTAAGGATTTGGGGATGCAGAGGGGTGGAGGAGTAAAACAATGTGATTTTCCTTTTAAGTTTTTTATTCTGATTATGTGGAGAAGAGTGAAGAAGGATCAAGACTATTATAACCAAGTGACTTGGACTCATGATAGTGGCAAAGTAGTAAAAAATGTTGGATTCTGTGTTATTGTTCCATTTTACAGGTTGGAAACTGGGTCTCTGGTAAAGTCACAGCCCAAGTCATAGTTGGTAGAGGCAGATTTATAAACAAGGCAATCTGATTTTAAAGCCGACAATGGACTCCAGGGCTAAAGTGTCTCCCTCGAAGGCAAGAGGGAGGCAGGTTCCCAACAGGGAATGCAGAAAGGAACTTGACCATGAAGAGCAATCCTTGGAAAATGAAGTTCCCTTTGGGCACACCAGAGGGCGTGTTTCCTGGGGTGGGAAATCAGCAGTAGCCTCAGTAACTGTGCTGCACAATGGCTTCAGACTTAGGCACCTTTCGGAGAGTACTGACCTACTGCCTCCCCTCCGTAAGTTTGTTAGCTATACATATTTGAACAGTGTGTCTCAACAAGGTATTCACAAGATGGAATAAGCTCATCTCAACCTGTTCCTCCTGCTGGTTACAACTGAAAACCCTGGGCGAAAGGTATAAAGCAATCATCAGAAAACTGAAACATGGAGAAAGAAAGGTAGACTCAGAACTGAGGGTGATAGTCCAGATAAACACCTTGAAAGAAATTGCACCCTTCTCACTGGATGCTTCAGCTGTGGAGACAATCAGGTGGAGCCCTAGCAACATGCTCAGCCTGCACAAAGTGAGAGAATGGGAAAGATTACTGAGAGGAGGGAGCAGAGGAAAAGATCAAACCTGAGTATGAAGTCCTTTGAGCAACCCATGCATCAAACTGGCCAGAATCAATGCAGCCAAAACTTTGAAACTCCAACTGAAGTGTGGAATACCACCCAGGCTTAAGATTGACCTCGAGGTTGCACACAAACCAGGCAGACCAGAATAGAAGTGCAGTCTCAGAGAACTAAGGTGTGTGTTCTGAATCTAAATGGATTGATTCCTACTAGAATATAATATAGTAATTAAACAGGAACTGGAGCCAAAATATACTCAACTGTCCAGGACACAGTTCAAAATAGCTCACCTTACCAAGAACAAGGAAAATCTCAACTTAAATGAGAAGACAGTTAACAAACATCAACACCAAGATAAGAGAGTTCTTAAAATTATCTGACAGAAATTTTAAAGCAGCCATCATAAAAATGCTTCAATCAATCAGCAGTCTGAACAATCTTGAAATAAATGGAAAAATGAAGTCTGTAAAACCATAGAAGACATAAAAAGAACAAAATAAACACATTAAAACAAGAAAATGCAGTTTTGATTTTAAAAAAACTCAACACAATGGAACAACAGAGATAATAGAGAAAGGAATCAGTGAACTTGAAACTAGATCAATAGAAATAGTCTATTATGGAGAATGGAGAAAAAGATTATTTTTTTAAAATAAAAGAGCCTCGAAAGAACTTGGAACTTTTGAATCCCAGAAGAGGAGAAAAAATGTAAAACTGAACAAATATAGGAAGAATTAATGGCTAAAAACCTACTAAATTTGGTAAAAGACATAAAACAATATTCAAGAAGTTCAGCATATCTCAAAAAGGATAAGTACTCCAAATACAACTCAAAAACTTCTCAACCAGATTCTCAAAATGAAAGATAAGAAAAAAATCTGGAAAATACTGGGGGGTGGCACATTACTGATGGGTGTCAGTGATGCTGGGTGCAGTTCTAGTCACGGTATCATTGATGCTCGGTGAAGTTCAGGTGGTGTCAGTGATGTGGGTGCATTACTAATGGTTTCAGTGATCCGGGGATACAGTACTGATGGTGTCAATGATGTTCTCATCAGAAGCACAGACTCTTGCACATTTTTCAACCGTTAAAAGAAAATAAATGCCAAACAAAATTCTACATCTAAGAACAGTGTCTTTGAGGAATGAAAGCAAAATAGTCTTAGTTAGGAAAACTAAGAGAATTTGTCAGAATAGCAGATTTAGGAGAATTCCTAAAGAATGTTTTCAAAAGTAAGTGTAATAGAAGGAATTTTGGAATATTAGTAATGAAAAAAAGAAGGGTAGATATCTGGAACAAAGAGTACATGACTTTTTTATTTTAAAAATTGTTTGATTGGTTTTGAATGGTTGGCAGTTGAAAGCAAAAATTATAACAGTGACTGCTGTGCTTTTCAATGCATGTGGAGATAACATTTATGACAATTACAAGGTTTCTATATTCCTCTTGAAGTGCTAGTAGACTAATGTGTATTATGTTGTAATCTCTAGAGAAGCCACTAATAAAAACTATAGAAAGAGATAAAATGACAAACACTAGAGTTGAAGCAAAATGCCATATTATAAAATGTTCAAGGTAGGCTGGAATGGAAAATAAGAGACAAAAAGATAATAGGAAACAATAAAATAATGATCCTAAATCCTGGTATCAATAATTATACTACATGTAATAGTCAAAAAACAGATTAGAAAAAGTTTGTCAGAGTGGATTTTTAATGACCCGATTTTAATGCAGTCTGCAAAACTTTTTGAGTATAGTACTCAGAGGTGGATTAAAACTAAAAGGATTTTTTTTAATGCCATTATGGAGGCTGGGCTCATTTCTGCAATCCCAACTACTCAGGAGATCAGGAGGACTGCAGTTTGAGACCAGCCTGGGCAAAAAGTTAGTGAGACCCCATTTCAACAAAAACAAGCTGGGTGTGGTGGTATGCACCTATCATCCCAGCTATGGGAGAGGCTGTAGTTAGGAGGGTGATATTTCACGACCAGCCCTCCTCCTCCTGACAAAAAGTGAGATCCTATCTGAAAAATAACATAAGGCAAAAAGTGCTGGAGGTGTGGCTTAAGTGGTAGAGTGTCTACCTAGCAAGTGCAAGGCTCTGGGTTCAAATCTCAGTACCACCAAAAAAATGCCGTTCTCATGAATTTTAAAAAGCTTGAATAGCTATATAAATACCACATTTGGGGGTTTCAGAGCAAGAAATTACCAGCGACCACAAGAGATTACATAATGATGAAAAAGACACAGCATCTTAAATGCACCAAACAACAGAGCTTAGAACACATGGAGTAAGGGTGGCAGAACCCGAGAGAAGTTCAACATAGTTGGTTCTTCAACATCCCTATGAGCACTTGACAGAAAATCAGTAAGGATGTAGGAGAATCAAACAGTGTCATTAACAGGACCCATTTGACAAAAGACTGTTCTCCACAAAAAAGCAGAGCATATATCTTCAAGTGCACATGGAATGTTTGACACCATGGGCAGCAAAGCCCTAAAGGTGACTAGACATCTTTGCCAAAGCAACTGAGTGTTCCTGGAGGAGCGCTCATGGCTAAGCGGGCAGATCGCTTTCCAGATACACAGCCACCTAGAAATGAATTGTGTGTGTTCTCTATTCTCCACCTGAGTCCATGCTGCATCTTTCCTTCCGAGCCTTTTCCAGCAACCCCTGATGGTGACCTTGCCTCATGTAAACAGGGTGTCTATTTTCACCACCAAA